GCTCTCCCTTGGGAAGGCACTTGTGGTTGCAAACAGAAGTCGACCGTGGGGACGACGGTCATCTGAAGATTTGACTGGTTTTGATGCCCAAATAATTCACTCACAAGGAGAACAGGAGCTCACCTTGTGCTGTTGGCGGGAGTGCTTGACCATGGCCTCTCCATGTGCCATGGGCTTTGCAGGGAAAGTGCCTGGATCCTAGAGGGAGTGCCCTAAGAGTGAATGTTCCAAGGATCAAAGCCACAAGGTCTCTCATGACTCAACCTGGAAGTTAAGTAGTGTCACTTAGCCGGCACTCTGCTGGTTACGGAAGGGCCATCCAGATTCAACATGGGAGGGAGCAGTACAAACATGATTCCTGGGCAGCATGGTTCATTGACGGCCATCTGTGGAGACTCGCTGTCACAGGCAGCCAATGGGTTCAGTAACACACACTTTCTGAAAATTTTCTCTCTTCTTGGCTCACAGATGGTCAATAGGGAAGCTGCCTTGGGACAACGTGAAAGTTGATGAAGTCACTCCAGCGATAGAAGAGGGACACCTGAATCTGTCCCAGCAGCCAGGGCACACAGTGACCCACAAGAGGGAAAAGTCGCCAAGGACATATGGTCAACATTTGAATGTGCAAGAGGTGAAGTAAATTAGACCTGCTTAGTAAACCTCCTTTAAGCAACTTTAACAGAAACAAATTTTGTTAATTTTCAAAAAAGCCCAGAGATTATTAATTTCACTGTGTGAATCACTCAGTTTTTCTATCACAGGAACCCTAGCCTAATTGCCGTACTTACTAGTCCTGTGCTGATTATGAAAAAAAAAATTACTGTGATTTATCTTTCTCTGTCACAAAGAAATTTAAAAAATATATTTGTTTTCACAATGGAACTCTCTGGAACTGCTCCACTATTATGTAAATTACCTTGTTTACTTAAAACCAATTAGTGTATCAGCTGCAATTCAGTCTGACCACTTCTACACTAATTTTATTACTAGTCCAGGCCCACTTTCCCAAGTGAAAAATTAGCAGTTTACAAAATATATACAAAAACAGTAAACAAATTACTTCAGCAGTATGAACTGTAAACATACAAGCTGAGAAAGATTCTGAAAGCATGAATATTTTTTTAAAAATTTAAAGCTCGGCTTTTTATTCGGCATTTTTAGCTGAAAATTGAGCCTAGTCGTTATCTACACTAATCACAAGGTGAGCCAGCGATGTCACAATTTGGCAGGATTTATAAAATACATAAACTATGTAAACACAGATGAAAATAATTTAATAGGACAATGTCATTTTCCAAATATGCATTTTTTCAGTTAAATATGCATTGTTTTCTATTATCTAAATATTAATGCTTGATAGAGAAAATGCTTGATAATTTGTCCATTTCTCACTTTGAAGATATTGAGCTTTGTCAAATGTAAAATTCTCCTGAGTAGGTGCAGAATTATACAACACAGAATGATTTCCTTAAGATTTCTTTTTTTTAGACTTCACAATATCATTCCTGAAGAAAAAGTTACTGAACATAAATTAGTATTAAGAATGTCTTTCAAAATTAATTTTTTAAACTATTTTATAATTAAAGAGTTTACTCATTATAAATCAATATAAAATTTTTTTTCCTTCTACATTCCTTGTTTTTTTTTTAGACTAGTATTTCCTTTGGTTGAGAATGTTTTGATAGAAACAGTATTTTCTTATTTATGGCAGCATAACCTGTTCCATTTCATTTATTAAAACTATTATTTGATTACTTGTGTGCTTTGTATTATTAAATAGGCAGAAATTCCTTTCTAATTTTCAGAAGAGTACACATTCGCATTTTTTAGTCAACCATTTTTCAGGAAAGACAAAATAGCATGCAAAAATAATCACTGTTACTTGATTTATCAAAATAATAAACATTAAATATCACTATCTCAAAAATCTGAAAAAAAACCTACTTTCCCAAATGAATATTTTCTAATCTATTTTAATGTATTAAGAATAAAGACAAAATAAAATTTAAAATTAATCTTTAAATATTTTTTAAAAAGCTTTCAGGAAGATTTAAGATTTATAAAGTACACGTATCTCTAGTATGTATATTTACCTTTCCAATTTTTTCTAATTCCTTTTATTAGAATGATTTATCTAGATAATACTTGCATTTTTAAAACATGTCTATGTGTACATTTTTCTACTCTTTTCATTACTTATTTTTTAGTATATTTCTCTTCAAATTTAGTCCAAAATTTGTTGCTTTCATTAAGTAACTTCACACTTAACCCCCTTTTTTCTTACCTTTGGCTCTTTTTTAACAAAGTGTTATTCTACAAAAAAAAGTCTTGCTATTCTAAAAGACCAAAGGTAAACAGTCTTATTTGACAAAGGCTGTGTTCATAAAGTCTGAGAGACTTTAATTTTCCAAAAATAGTCAACATTTAGTCAAAGAGAGGTATTTACTGAAATTGACTTCTAAATGGTGACTAAAACTTTTATTTGGTTTCCCTGTAACTCAAAGAGAGCTTTTGAACAGACCAGTCCATATTCCAAAATAATGTCAGGTCCCCAAAATGTCATACAAGATATGCTATAGGACTTAGCAAGCAGGGAAATTAAGTGCATATGACAGATAGGAAAATAGTAGTAAAGGAATACATAAAGAAAGTCTGTCATTAGGATGGACTACTCAATTCATGTTGACTTTTTTTCTTTTTTAAAAAAGATTTTATTCATTTATTCATTTTTAGAGAGAGGGGAAGGGAGGGCGAAAGAGAGGAAGAGATACATCAACTGATTACCTCTCATATGCCCCCCAACTGGGGACCTGGCCCGCATCCCCGGCAAGTGCCCTGACTGGGAATCGAACCAGCAACCTTCCTGTTCACAGGCTGGCACTCAATCCACTGAGTCATTGTTTTACATATTTTTATTCTGTAGAGGGGTAAAATTTGATCTCTAAGTTAAGTTACCAATAAAGGTAAATTACTAGTTTTGGTTTTTTTTTTTCAAAAATAAAGCCAAATGGACGAACTAATGTACTAGACTACTACTGAAGTATCCGTGTAAGGGGCAAATATTTGTGCTGATTCCTATGCACATTAGGAATTAGGGAAAAAAAAACTGCTGCCACAATGAGTATTTAAAGCCTTTGGTAACACACACATGCACATGCATACACATGCAAACATAACTGGTTATCTTTACATTAATACATTTTACTTAATCAAATTATATTAGTTATGGGAACTCTCTTTCTACTGCTTTTAAGTTAAACAATAATATGCAAATTATTTACATAGAAAAAAAGATTTCATTTCCTTAAAAAATTAAAAATAGCAATGGTATAATCTAGGAATTCTACTGCTGGGTATATATCTAAAGAAAACAAAATCATTATCTCGGAAAGATATCTGCACCTCAATGTTAATTACAGCATTATTTACAATAACCAAGACATGGAAACAACCTAAGTGTCTATTGACAGGTTACGGGATAAAGACGTTACACCCACAGACACAGACACACAAAACGCAATATTAGTCAACCATAAAAAAAGAAGGAAACACTGCCATTTGCAACATGATAGATGAGCCTTGAGGGTGTTAAATAAGTCAGATAAAAACAAAAGCTGTACACTCTCACTTGTATGTAGGTTCTAAAAAACATGAACTCATGAAGAAGACAGAATGATGGTTGCCAGAGAGCATGTTTCAAGCTGCTGCTTTCTACATCCATCCAACCCTGTCTGTTTTCCATCTTTCAACTTTTCTGACACTTAAAGGAATTTCTCACACTTTCCCTCACTAATCATGGCTCTTTTTTTTAAAAAGTACATACAACATTTCATGAAATCTGGGATGAGAAGGACAATAGAAACTGTGGTCAGCTGATTACTTCCATCCAATTTCCGGAAACACGGCAAATGGTTAACACAGTTCCTCTAGGTCAGTACCCATGTATTCCACAACCAAAACAAACAAGGACTTTGTGGATGTCATTCCTCTGAAATGACCACAAGGGACAGTGAGCTGGCTGGCATGGGTAGAACTCTGTTTTTATAACAACAGTCTGTTCTGATTGGTGGCATCCATGACACACCAGCTTTTACATATTTGGAATACTATCCCTGAAGTATACTAAATATAAATCAAAAGTCATTACTAAAGTGTCTCCTCTACCAACAAGTTGATGGATAGTAGGAATTTACTCTGGATATTAAGTGCCACTGTAGAGGAGAAAAGAGGTAGAACCCCACTTCCTTATTTCCTAAGTCTGTCTCCCAGTAATTATAACATCTTGTTCATCACCACATCCTCAATGTCTGTAACAGTGCGTGGCCCACAGTAGAACCTTGAAAATCATTATTGAATAAATAAATTTATATTGAATAAAATAATGAATAAGATCAATAAAATAGTAAATATATCTCTATTTCCTTACTTGTAAAATAAGTTAGATAAATTTCTAGTCACTTTAACACTAAAGATATTAATTCTATTTAAATTCAATAGTTTTCATTAAGATATGATACTAGTAAATGGACCAAGCAAAATGAAAAAAATTATAGACTATTATATCCAGATATTCAGGCTACTCCATTATAATTCTTTTTCTTAATCCTCACCTGAGGATATGTTTATTGATTTTAGAGAAAGAGGAAAGGGAGGAGAGAGGGAGAGAGAAACATCGATGTGAGAGAGAGGCATTGATTGGTTGCCTCCTGTACGCACCCAGACCAAGGATCAGACCCACAACCCAGGTATGTGCCCCAATCAGGAATTGAACCTGCAACCTTTTGTTGTGTGGGAAAATATTCCAACCAATGAGCCACCTGGTTAGGGCTAAGTCTCTTTTTAAGATAAATCACCAATAATAAAGAGAACAACAAAAACTTACTTTAAATTATTTTATTTTTCATAATTTTCTAACACATGGTGTTAGAAATATGAATTTTGGCACCATGACTTTGAACTTTTTTCAAGTTTAACCTATAAATTAAAAACAGTAGCTACAATAAAGATATTTAAACCTCACTGAGAGAAATGGTGAAAATCAAGGCACAAATTTTTTTGTATAGGGAAATTATTTCAAAGTGGGATTTAAAAAAGCTAATACAAAGAGCAAGAAGGATAAAATGGAGACTAACTGGGAAGACCAAAAAAAAGTGAATAACCCTCCCTAAAGAAGAGAATCAGGAGTGAGGCAAAGGGAAAAAGGGAAGAGAGGCTCACCAACTTATTTTCCTGATATAAAATTCAAGTACTTAAAAAAAAAATTTTAATCATAAAATGCTGCTACTCATCTCAAAGAAAAATTAATCCTTATAACTTTCTAGAATTAAAAACAAACACCTTCTTTGACTTAAGGACACTTAATGATACTTAAGGAATGGAAAGGTTTGAAAGCTTTTCTAAATCTAATATCCACTTAATATAATCTACCTTGGAAAATTCATCTGAAGGAATGAACATAGGGCTTTATTTCTAATACAGATGTAAAAAAATCTGTCTTAACAATCTAAACAAAAATGTTTTCAACTGGATATGCAAGTCATTGTATTTTGCACTAAGTTCTTAAGGAAAAACATTGTATAACACTGTTCTTCGTATTCCATCAGGAACTACCGTAAAACATACCTACAAAGGAGGTCAAAAAAGTACTTACACATTAATTGCACACAAATTCAGTCAGAATTCCAGTTTTCCAACATTTCAAAAATTGCCAATTTTCATTTTATCTAAATGTTGATAAATAAAATTCCTCCCAGGCTTTGTTAAATATGAAAATATCATTAGTCTCATTTGTCACTTGTACATTTGTACCTGAATATTTTATCAGCTTAAACAAAAATTCAGGAAATTGTCACTATTCTCAGACACGATAACGCAAAGAAATAAATATCCACTTTAACTTTTTCTTTCTTCTTCAATCTGTGTTTTAAGGCTCAGAGCAGACATTAGGATATATCCAAAAAAAATTTATAAAGTTTTTCAAATGTTTGGCCCAAAGAGAAGTTGTTCTGTTGAAGTTACTTAAATATTCTTCTCATCTTCTCAAGCACAACTTCAGACATGTTCATGCCAGTTATCAGTTCCAAAAGAAACAATGATTCATTCAAATGGGAGTGAATAACTTAGGGGTCGATAAATGACACTGCGATGTATCTCGTTCCGTTTTTAACAGGAAGTCCTTCATGTAGATGCGTGAGTCTCCCTGGATGCATGAAGCTCCATCCCTTTCTGGGTGATTCAATAGAGCAATTGTACCTTAGAAATTTGCATCCACCTCCCTAAAAGAGACAGAACAAATAAATGTATTAACCTATTATGTTTAATTTTTTTATCAGTAGCAAAATTCAAATTATGCCATAAAGCAGAATCTTTTTTTTTTTAAAGTAAAGGCTTTTTGTAATGACATATTTGAGAAACAGAAAAAATAAAACCCATAATTACCTGAAAATCTTCTCCCACGTTATTGAGTGCAATGTTGATGGTAAACGTAGAAGCATCATGATGAGGACGAAGAGAACGCTGTCTATCTGGGGAGTATTTTACCACAAAATTCAATAATGCAAACCCCTAAAAGGCAAGGGAAACAAATGGATTTGTATTAATAAAAACACAAAATTGCATATTTGTGTAAAAACTAGTAGGAGGTGGACAGGAAAAACAGGAGAATAACTACCTTCGTATAATAGCCTGCAAAGACTTTCAGTGTAACTGGTGCAATAAACTCCCGGATAAAATGAAGCCATACATTCTCCAGATCAATTTGTTTCATGTGGATATCATCAGTTGGGACATTTTCATAACCACCAGATATACGGCTATCCTAGAGAAAGCATTAATGACATCAGAAAGTGTGGTCCACAAGCAATCCACATTTATACTGTCTTGGAATTTTCAGCCCCAAGACCATTATGAACAAAAAAATAAACAATATAATTATGGTACGCCACCTGCGTGAACTATAAAACTATTAAAAAAAAAAACTTACATAACATGGCTTTGCAAATATATCAATGAGGCAAAATATTGCAGTCAGTAGACTCCTTTCCTATTTATTTAATGTGTTAACCCAAAATTAAAAGGCCAAAATAAGAGGCAATGAGTGTTTATTTGAGATCCAAAAGAATAGCTATTCAGAAAACACTGATTCAGGCAGAAACCCAGAGTGTTCAGATTAGGAGGCAAAGGCAAGGGGTATTTATGAAAAAGGGAAGGGGAACAATTACATCAATAGAAGGAAGGCATTTCTGTAGGTAAGGATAAGCTAGCACAGTGTTTCTAATGCTCAACAATGTTTTAAATTTTCACTCCAGGTAGTCATAGTGTCTTCTTTCTTGTTACCTTTGCACACAGTTGTTTGGGATACAATGCTGCCCTTAGGTCAAATCCAAGGTCCTTTGGCCGTGTTTCAACATGCTAAAGATTTGAGGAATAAGATGTGCAAGGCTCTGGGACAGCAGCTCCAACTCCATTTTAAAGTGGCTCCATTTATTCAATTTATTATTTTTTTCAAATGTGTATGTGAGATTTGACTATAAAGTAGATAAAATTAATTTCCAAAATCCTCCTAATCCCCCAGATATGAGCTTTTTACAGATACCCTTTAGGCAGTTTTAGCTGCTTGGTGAGCAGAGATCCTCTGTATTACCAACCACCAAAACAAGCTTTCGGGCTCTGTTCCACACGTCTACTTTTTGGAACCCAAAGTTCCTCCATGATAGGATCTCATTATTCTGCCTTCAACCTGCTAACTTCAAGTTCTTCATCATTCTTTGAACTCCTGTCTCCCTGGTCAGTTAACTCGCTGAAATATATAATTAAGCACAGGCCGTAATGTTTGAGTTTCCACTTAAATTTCTTGGTATTGTTAAGGAGATGGCAGTGCAGGTTCTCAGAGGAAAAGAAAAACACTGAGCCGCTCCCTACCAAGTCTTTGACACTGAATGTAAATGCAAAACTGAATTATACTAAAGGTATTCAAAAAGGTTCCCCATTTTTATGTTTTGTACAAAAAAAAAAAAGCTTAGACAATCAACCAGAAAAACTTAGTATTTAGAACAAAAGGTTATCTTGAAGGACATCACAGAGTAAAGACAAACATTACCTTACCGTCTCCACCCTGGGCACACTGACCTTTAGGGATCATCCAGTGTAATTACATGCGTAAATGAGAAACAGGGCTCCAGACAGATGAAATGTTAAACACTAATTACTTAATGGCAGGATTACACTTAAAAACAGCTTCCTGGACAGTCTTGGCTAGCCCATTCATTTCTGTCTACTCAGAGCTGTACTCCACTCTGAGTTCTCTACATATGTACCCCTCCTCCCACCCCCCAAACACAGTGTAGTTTTCTGGGTGAAATTACAACTTACGTGATGCTTCCCTCCAGACCACTGGCCATAATGTTCCATTTCTTCCACCAACTCATCACAGGCTTTTTCAGAAAATATTGGAAACCAAAAGACATCTGGACAAGGCTATAAAACATGGCATCACCATTGAGAGAATAACATTTTGTGTCTTTTAACTAATAACTAGCATTTCAAAAGTACTGGGACAGAATAGTCAATATTTATCTCACGTAGAGGTCCTTTTTAAGAAGCTTGTCCCACATTATTGGCATTACAATGGTATTACAAACAATACTAGTTTGGGTTGTTTTTTTTTAACACTTTCTGAGACTTCTTTTACATTTTCACATCAGTGAAATCAACATGCGTCTTAAAGTCATAGCCAAGCAGCCATTGATGTAGTTTTCATGCCACAATGCTTGGTCAAACATTCATTCTGTCCTCACCTTGTGTGTACGTGTTGTGTGTCTGTGTGTGCATATGCATACATGGATTTAGCTGTGTTTCATTTGCTGAACTGAGTTGCCCTTGAAAGTGTCTTTTTACATGATTTACACTATAATTTGCAACAGAAACAAAAAGTTATAGCATATACAGTACATTAGAACACGTAACATCTATGCCTTAATAAGACTAAAATAAGTCTTTCAACATGTATAAAATTAAAAAAAAAATCTAAATGACTAGAAAACCCTGTGCCATAGTTTAATTGGCAGTATTTTTTTTTCTTTCTCCCAGTACACATAATGAGATATTGCAGAATCAAAGATGCCTTACATTCTGATATAAGGTATTAGCAATAGTTTGGGATACTAATCTAAAACAGAGTTCATTTTGTAAAAAACGTCTCTGAGAAAAGTCTTAGAGCCCAATTTCTTTCAAAGATAAACTTTCACTGAAAGAGATCTGCCAATGGCTCCTTATTTTTAGTGGTTTAAGAAAGCCAAGACGTTGGGAGCACACCTTAAAAAATCCATGATCTTAAATTTTTTGTTCATTTCCACATTCTACATTTTTATAGCTATAGGACCCTTCAGGCTATAAAATTGGAAATTAAGCCATATGAATTTTACTTAAATTAGGATAATTTCTCCAATTTCACAACATCTTCCACTAAAGCAACATTACAGTAATAATTTGCCTTCCTGGAAAGTACATAGCAAAAATCCTCTGTACATCTTAATAATTATTTTTTATTCATTTTTTATTTTTAGAGAGAGGGGAAGGGAGGAAGAAAGAAAGAGAAAGAAACATCAATGAGTTGTGTCTTGTATGCGCCCCAACTGAGACCAAACCCACAACCTGGGAATGTGCCTTGACAGGGAATCAAAACAGCTTTGCTGGGTGACACTCAACCAAATAAGCCTCACCGGTCAGGGCTCGTAGTAATTATTAGTACGAACCTGTTCAACTATATTTTCAGTGAAAATCTTTGAATAATCACGGTTTATATACTTTTCCTTCCAGTCCTATAAAAAAAAATACACAAATTAAAGCAAATAGTTTTATAAATACTTTAATAAAAATATAAAGTATATGCATTTTAGAAATTGCTCAAATGACTTATAAATGACTGTTTGTTTTGGACAAAATAAAAATTCTCTGAAACCACAGCTTATGTTTTTTAATATTTGCCTGATTCTGTGTATGATCATATCTTTCTATGAAACATAAAACTTTTATTTATGAAGTTTTCTACCTTAGGATTTTAAAACTTGAGTAATCTATAGTGATTATATTTATATGCTCTATCATATGCATATATACAGAATAGATAAATGTGAGTTTAAAAATGAATAACAAAATCAATAAATATTAGTAAATGTTAACACATTAATCAACTTCAGTCTTATACTTTTATAGTGAATTCCTCTAAAATAATTTCAATTTTTAAAATGTATTTAAAACTTCTTCCTTCATTTCAGTTTTTAATATTTATCAAAGAATGATCATCAGGTTGCTAACACTTCACTTCTTTTAGTTACTAAAATTAAGGAATAGGACCATATATTAAAAAATAGATCTTCTTCATGCTAACTAATGAACCTGATTCTTCCGTTTAGCTAAACCCTGACATATAAACCACACACTGAAATATCTCAATTCTTGTCAATATTAGCTAAATATTAGCTTTTTCCTGGGCCAAGTGTTTCATTTAAAAACCCAATTATTTAAAGGGTATATATTAAAATATTAAGTGATTTCTTATCCAAAAAGATCTCTTCTTAAATGCATTGAGACAGTCTAACAAAATTCTTAATTTTCTCTTTACACAGTACAAACATAGGAAGCCAACAAGGAAGAACTGAGGTATAGATGTAAAATAATTCCAATCAAAATATGTTCCCAAAATGTTTGTTTCAAATATACCATTTGAGGCTAGATTTCAGAGGAGTCCAGATCATTTATATGCCATTCTTAGTGTTGCCTATCTCTTCTTCTATGTAGCTCAGATATTTTTGATACAGAGAAACAAAGCTACTTTCAAATTCTTTAATAATTTTATTTACAGTACATAATTATAAGGATCAAATTACTATATTATCTCATTATTCCCTCTAATATTGATTAGTTTTCTGATTTCAAAATATGGGGAAAAATTAGAAGTAAATAATAATTTATAACATTTCAGAATCTTTCTATATTCTTTCTTACGAATCATTGATTTTTAAAGTGAAAAAAAAAGCCGCTAAAATTTTACATTAATTTTTCATTTTAGGCCACCTCTCAAATTGAACAAACTGTGACCTTACTAATTTCTTAGAAATTCTGATAATGGAAAAATCATTAAATATTTTGCTATATATATCACCCACAAAGTATATCCATAAAGCTAATTTCCAAAAAAATGAAGTAAAGCTATAGAAAGAAAAAGTCCCAAACTTATTTGTGATATTATCATTGCATACTCTCCAAAGATTTGAATTTTTATACAAGCATCTACAATTCAGGATATAATTTGGAATATTTTTCTAGAAAGCTAACATTACCCAAGAAGTCAAATAATTCTCTTTCTCAAAATAACAAGATATTCAGTGCTAAAGTAAAATATGTAATTCCACCCTCACCATTTTAAAAAGCCTCTTCTCAAGTCTATTCCTGTGCAAGATATGCAGCTAAAATGTCCTGAAAGTACTTTTAAAATACAAAAATGTCAAAAGATACTCTTTTCCTATTCAACTTCAGAGACCATTAAATATACTGTTTGCAGATGTCAATTATTCCTACAAAATAAACAGAATTCTGATATGATGGATTGAGTCTTTGTAATTTAAAACTTCTATTATTAGCAAGAGAAAACCATAAATAGTAGTATTACAGAGATGATTATTGAAGAGAGTACTTTTCCTTGAATAAATGTGCTGACTTCATTAAAGAAAACAGGCCCCGTTAAGACAAAGGAAAAAAAAGTTAATTTCTCTATGATTCATAACTTTCAGTAAAGAAATCATTTTTGGCTTTAAAACGAAATAGTTTCCTCAACTTAAGGCTTTATTTGTATAATGAACCCACTTTGTAATTTTTTCTGCCTATCTTTGGTACGCATTCACAAAATTGTTATTAAATAAATAGACAAGATGATAAAATAAAATGTATTTTCCTAAATTAACTTGAGTTTTCTTCTTGAAAATCAAAATATTATCATCTGTCAGCTACTGTAAACATTTCTTCTAAAATTATGATTAAAAATTTGATGGTGCTTTCCAATACATAAGTAGAAATACTGGGAGAAATTATAAAAACTGCTAATTCCCTTCCCCAAAGCTAATATATGTCTTAATAAAAAAGAGTTCTCAGGTTTTGATCTAAAGGACATAAAATATAATTAATTATAACTTTTTAAAAAATATATAATTTAAAAAACTTTTAAAGCCTCTTACCATATTTTCATATAATTAACCCAATTTATTTTCATCCATTTATAGTTACAGGAAAACAAGTAATTAATAAAGTTGACTATGAAATACCTACCACAGGATTTTCAAAAATCTGCCAAAGGTCATTGTTATAATGGGAAGTATTGTAATTAGCAGTTGATAATAGTCTTCCAAATTCATGTCTATTAGAAATGTACATAAATACACCCTATATGTCAAAGAATAAGAGTATTAACAATCATAAAATAAAGTACAAAAAATACACTTAACCATAGAAAAATACATTAATTTTAACTTTTATATATTCATTCATGAACATGCATTTTTATAAAACATGCATGATTGAAAATGAGAGAAATAAAATTTCCATTCATTATGAAGTCAGCCACCACACAAACTAATTGCTAGCACTGACACTCAACTGAAAAATAGAAGAGGCAGAATGGACTGTTTGTGTCCCTTTCTCATTGATCCTAGATGTAGCCATCGGGGAAAAAAAATCCTGTTTGAAAGCAGAAGTATCTTTTAAACACCAAAGTTCAATGCATTGTATCTCTTTTGGCTTCTTTCCCTTTCAAAGAAGACATCACATTTTTAAACAAGAATTCAAATGTCAATATTATTTCATCAGTCTATTTTATTCTTTTATTTTCCTAATGTTTAAAAACCAAACAGATATTACTCGTACATTAGAAAGCAGCTAAAGAAAATTAGTCTTATATCCCTGTCCCAAACCAAATAAATGTGGCAACACCACTAATATATGGTTGTCTCATTTGGTACCTGTTTTAATAATGAAAAGGTTAGTTATTAATAGTAAAAAAAAAAATCATGAAGAATGCCCAAATCTCATTTTTATCAAGATGTACTTTTTGCATACTCCTACCTCTTCTCTCCTTTAAATAAAGCAAAAACCTGAAAGGGATTTATTTAGGTTTCATTTTCTCATCTGTTAACTGTAAAATGTAAAGCACAAGGAACTGAGAGCTAAACATCACACAATGCCCACCCCCAATACACAAAGCTTACAAGCACACACACAGATTCAGAACCAATGAATACCAAAAGTTTACCAAGCTAAATAGAAAGAAAACTCTTTAAAAAAAACTTTACTGTTAGCCAATATACTATATCTTATATTAATTAAATAAACAAAAACAAATAAAAATAAATAAAAATAACACCTTTGGGGGGCTGAGCATTTGGAATGTTTCCGGAGTAGGGGAGTCTTTTTCCCTTTGTAAAGTCTAAAATGAAGAGAAGCATTGGGTAAGTTGACCTGCACACCCACTCTCCCAGGTATTCTCAGGTAAATAAAATAGCAACCGTTGATGAAAAGCTGACATTCTGAAATCTCCTTCATAGAAAACATGCAGAACAAGCAAAGCTTATAGAGCACACAAAGAAACCACTCCAGCCCTTTTTTTTTTTTTGATGAAACATAAATCCAAGCTCATTCCGTAGAATTTCCATTAGACACAAAGTCAAGACAAAGAAAAAAAATGAGAAAAAATGTGTAAGAGAGGCCATTCCAGGATGCGCTGTTGAGTCAAATCAGCCAAACATGAGCACAAATTACAATTACAGGGACTGAGGATATTCAATATAACAATGCACACAGATTTGTAGGAGAAACGAACATATTCAAACACATGCCTTATTAAACTAATAAAAAAATACTTGCCAACTTTTCTGATTTTCCCAAAATTACATTTGTTTATACCAACTTGAATACAATAATCCAATCCTTTTTAAAACAGAAAATTATATAAGTACATTTCAAAAGATATTTATACATTTTGAAAAACAAATTATTTTCCACGGTTATTTAAGTTATGTAATGAAAGTAGAATGGCAATATCTCATTACTTTTTTGGATAGACAAAATGTATTTACATACCTCAATCCTTCTCCCAGTTTAGGAGTAAGGAGTGTGGAGATATTGATGATAAAGTATAGACTTTGATTTTCAGAGTAAAAGTATGGTCTTAACTGTGTAAATGATTATTTCACCCAGGCTCTACCTGAGTAGTTTCAATTAGGTCAAGTTTTCAATACAGAATTTCAAATGGAATTAAAGATGAATTTTCTAAAATGAAAAGCTGATCTGTAACAATTATTGTTGAATCTCACTGTGGCTTATGAGTTAGTGTAATCACCAACATAATTTTTCAAATGTTTCATAGGTAGATATTCACTGATTATTTTCCATAATTGTTCCTAATTTTCAACACAGAACCAAAAAAATTGGCTAGTATTTACAAATTAGAAAGAAAAGGAACATCAAAAGACAATGGCACATCAACTGGGAAAGCAAGCAATTTTCTGACAACACCAGGCAAGCCATCATCGTATTCTTACCATTTCTCTAGCATTTCGGCAAAGAGCCATGTCAGGATCCAGTCTATCACGAACAAAATAGTTCCTTTCATTCATTTCTGCTCGAAGAGTCTTTCCTTTAATTAAGTATACATTAGCCATGTATGGGACATTCCATATCCCTCTGAAAGCAAAGAGAAGACATCCCAATATACCGCAAATACAAAATATTTAAAGCTTTATTTTTGTTTTAAAAATAAGTGCCTTGTATGTTTTAAATTTTATATAAATTATTGAAGCAAATGACATGGAAATGCAAACACATTTAATGATATTTGACATATCTACACACATACATATAATACATGAGATTATTTGGTATATATTACATTTTTATGAGATAAATCACTACCTCCCTAAATTAACTTTATTTTATAGTTGATATCTGTTTGGAATTTTGGCTGTCACCCGCCTCACTTAGTTGTTAGTCAAAGTATAATATTCTGTTGCACCGAAGGTGTTTCAATTTAAGATTAAACAGTTTGATAGAAAAAAATAATGACATACAAGTGGTTTGCTAGAGCTAGTTTACACTGGCTCCCCAGAGCTGACATGTAACTTTACTTCCCAAGTCTATGCTCTGTGGCATTACATGAAAAGCTTGAAATCAGTCATGGTAGAAGTATTTACACCATGGAAACTGGCAAACATTGCAAATCAGGACACCCTCCAACCCCAAGAACTAGATGTTAGACATTTACCAGCACACCACTTAATACAGCCTAAAATTCTCCTGAAGTATTTCTTTTCTAATTCTGGAAATTGAAATCAGATATTGATGAGGAAACTGATCTTTAAGGCAGAATATTAGCTATTTTACACAGAAAATGCTTTGCAATAGAAAATGTTGGAAGATTTTGATGCAGAGTATTGTTTTTATTTGCTCATGTATAAGTTTTAAAAGCTATCAAAACAACCTTCATCCTGACCACTAAATAAATTAGCTAAATTGGCTTTACAAACTTTTAAATAAAGAATAATTAATATGCTAATAATTGATCATAAGATTGCTACCCATGGTAACCACATATTATGTCTTAGTATTTCCCACAACAGTGAGTTTGCTCCTTTGAAGATTTAGAATTTTAAAAACATTTTTTGTAAAATACACATTTATACAATTATTTCAGGAGCCTGAGTTATCCCCAGATTTCAAATTTCCATTAAATAAAAAAAGGTGCCCTGGCCAGGTGGCTTGGTTGAAGCATCATCTTGTGCACCAAAAGGGCACATACTTAGGTTATAGTTCTGATCCTTGGTCAGGGCACGTATGGGACTCAAGAAAGTGTTATTTCTTCCCCCCCAACACTGATGTCTCTCTCTCTCTCTCTCTGTCTCTCCCCCCAACCCTCAAATCAATAAAGACACCCTCAAGTGAGATTGAAAAAAAGATAAATAGAAAAAAAATCCAGCAATATTAATAAGACCTCATCTCTAGATTATGGTATGTCACATTAAAGATTAAATTAAGTAACTTACACTCTATTCCCTTGAACAATATCCACATAATCTTCAGATCGTGCATAGTATCCATCAGGACTAAGTGCTCCCCAGAAGTTGGACCACAGCTTTCCATGGCGAGTTACAAGAGGAGCAATGATTTTTCTGAAGTGAAAGAAAAAAAACATCCAGGTAACTATTTTTTTTTAATGACCACACAATTATGTGTTCTGGACTTAGCATGAAATATAAAACAATAAAGTTCATTTAACATACTTGCAATTAGTCCAAAAAACTAAAATAAAATAGAGAAATTTCTTCCCAATACTTTTTCCTAAATAAGTACACCGCTGATTTTCAATGATATTTCTTTAAAAGATTACAAAAGTAACTCAAATGTGAATGAAAGTATAAAAAGGACTTTTAAAAGACCCTTACTTATTTTCAAAAAGTGAAATTACCTTAATTATTTCAGAAACTGTACTATATAAAATCAAATATTTTCATTGTTATTAGAGAGACATAATAATCCCTAGTGCATTAAAGTATCCAATAAATATCTGTTGAATAAAGAAAGGAATGATGATGGGTTAAAATATCTGTAAATGAGCCAGTTTTGCTAAAGTTAGGTCCTCACTTTAAAGTTTGTTTCCATTTTTTACAACTTTGAAAATGGGTTGTGTTAACCCTGGCAACACGGAACATTTTTCTGATCCTTTAATTATTTCAGAAGACAAAAGAGAAGATAAGTTCAATAGCGCTCTACCTCCCAAGAAATAGTCTCTTTGAGAAAAGCACATGTTAGAAATCCAAAACATATATTTCTTCTTCAGAAAATCTAATTTACAATGTGTTGACATTTTCCAAATAAGATAACAAAATCTAAAGTTCCTCTAGAATAACTTCTAAAATACAGTGCATGGTAATTGTATCTCACTGTTTTTAAGAAAAGCTCGCAAAACCCCTCCAAGAGAAAGCTCATGGATGAACTATTCTACTCCACAATATGCCAATCATGTGAAGACGAGGTGTGCCCTTTCTCTCACCCACAGAAAAGTGAAACTTAGTCTACAAGATACACAACATGCAAAATAATGATTTTGGTTTAATTTTTTCCTGGTTCCTATTAAATGAAATGTTAACCAGAAACACTTATATTTTGATTTAATATAAGTGTTTATATTAACATAGGTTGCTACTATGCTTAAAGTACATAGATAACAAGTTAGAATCTGTATATTATGTTTATTTAAGAGATGGTAATTTAGTGTCAACAATGGACAAGATCAAATATTTAATAGAAAAAAAAATCAAAATCTCAGCTGCCTCCCAAAGATAGATGGGCAAAGAAATGTTGAAAATCAAAATCCATATGCTGTGTGCCTAGTGAGTCTGATTATGGAACTACAATAATAACAGCTGGGAGTGATGAAGAGCACTCAATAACTGAAGGAGTAAAATTTGGAGCAAGGCAGAAAACAGCAGAGATACGAGGAACAGAGGAAAAAGTGGACTAGATGAAATGCTGGAAAACCTTATGCCCTAAGATGTGACCCATCCCCTGCTCCTCTAGCCTTCAGTCAAGTCTATGGAATCTGCAAGAGTCTTGATATATGTGAGTGAGTTGTAGAAACTACATGTTTGAATGCAGGGGCATATCATGTGAACCTAATCCTTTAATAATTAATGGAAATTTATGAAACTGGAGAAATAACCAGTTTTACTGGCTCTTATGAAGGGAATTTTATATTTTACAAGGTTTAAATCATTGGACTGATTTTAAGGGGGATATACGTTAAATGTAGAATGCAAATCCCTTAACAGTTCACTACAAGAATTAATGTGTCATATAATAAAAACATCTAAATATTATTAGAAGTATATGTATATTACAAGTATTGAATTTCAATCAAATTAAGATAAAATAACGGCAATTTCAAAAAAATATTACTGAATTCCACATGTTTTAAGAATTACAAATTACAACCCTATTCCATATGCTTTTCTTTGCACAGAAATTCAAACCTTATACATGTGATTTGAAAAATTACCTGTAATTTATACTTACCTTGGATTATTTATATATATACACACATATATATAAATATATATATACACACACAGATATAGTTATATAGTGGAGCTGTATATACAGATTAATATTGAGAAGTCTTAGATTTTAAAGTAATAACAACTCTCAAATTGAAAGATCATTTATATATAGGGTGGGTTAGTACAATATAATAAATTTCTCACATATTTTACTCAGTAAAAATGAAAACAGTAATATTTCACTGCTAACTATTCTGTCATCAGAAATAATTGTGTTAATATATATAAATATATTTAGAATACCTGGTACTTAATAAGCACTTATTAAATGTGAACTATTAGTACATGTATTAATAATATTATTATTAGTGGTAGCAGCAGCATTAATTAGTGAAGACTTATTATCATTATAAGCTGGTATTATAGATGGTGTCTTTTTCCCATTTCAATTGAGTTAAATGAAAACAGGTATAGACCAGTGATAATTGTTCAGTATTACATAAAACCACAGATCTGGCTGTGAAATAATTTGTACCTCTGAAATTTCAACTTCTAAGAACTATAACTCTCTCTGTAATAATTTTTTAGGTCAAAAGTTTTATGAAATTCTACTTTAAAAATATCTACAGAAAATTTAAAAATTTCTAATTTTACTTCTATTGGATATAATTTCACCTATCTTTAAATAGAAAAATAAGGCAAATATAATTGATAAACATCACATTTGTGATTGTAATAATAAATACTTCTAATTTTCATTAAGTTATTTTCTATTTGACTCCTTTAAAAGAAAACAAATTAGAATTGAAAGTTTATAAAGTATAGAAAATACTTAGTGTGAGTTCCCTCAACTTCCCCTTCCTATTTGTTCCTCCCACAGATGTCATTACAGTGCGTGGACACCGAGGAAGAAAATGATTCATTGTTTTAAAAATAAATTGACATTGAACTTTATACAGTACCTGTTTTGTTCAATCAAGATCTTTAACGTCCTTGGGTTTGTCAAAACAACATCTGCATCCACACTAAAGTAATAATCACAGCTGTCATCCTGGCGGCAAAAATCCCTGACATGGAAAAAGAAATACGAATTAGAAAAAAATAAATGTTTGCTGTTGAAAAATGTTAATATAAAGCTTATGTGTAAATTAAAGTTTCTCTAATATAGTGTTCTAATCAAAACAGTAAGACTATATCCAAAAGGGTAAGAACTGTTTTGAATTTCAAAATGGTCAGTTTATCAACACAGATGTTCACAGGTAGATCAACAATAAAAATTTTAGGCCAGGTGAAATATGTTTTCAGCTATTAAATATTTTAGAACACAAAACAATACATCAGAATGACGATTTATAATTTAGAATTAAATCCTCTTTAAAAGGGAAAAATAATTTACCCAATGTATTTATCAACATTTTTTTCAAAAAAATCAAAATGTTTTTGCACATGCGCATGTACACACACGTAAACACACACTGCAAAATTTTTGTATATCCAACAGCTCAGATTCAAGTGAATCTTGAAGGTACAGGTAAATTCCTCTTTAGGTATTAATACTTTTTGAACTTGATTTGCATGGGATTCTTTCTAAGGTTGCTACTCCCTTGCTTCATCCCGGGGACACGACTACAATGTATGCTTTTCTTGGTAGATTCTGCAGTGTTCTATCAGGACACCAGGGAATGAACCACCTGTGATACATGAAAATCTTCCCAGTATCATGGTTTCTGCATTTGAGATCCTTTCTTTCTTGGCTCCCAGTTATCATCTTCAGCTACTATCAGTGTGTATCTCCACAGCACATTTGTTTCTAACTATCAGACCATTACACCAGGCAGTAAAGTAGTTAAAATTGTACAAATAGTTTAAAAAAATTTAAAAAATAACTACTGAATGTGGACCCAAGCATTCTCCAAAAAACAAGTTATGGTAACGACATCAGTTTGGTTTTCCTGAGACCTGTTTTCCACGTATTCCTTTCCCCTGACACCAAGCAGTGTCCATCATGCTGAGCCCTAAGCTTTCACAGCACAAAACAAGAAGTTGCCATGACTTACTCACCCTTGCATCAGAGCTACTAACCCACTGCCTGGAATATTCAATTACCATTTACTGAATAAAAGATTGTTTTTACTATTACCAGAATTTTATTAGTAATCCCTCTGAAGTATTAAAAGGGTTAAACAAAGGACCTAAAATATTTCTTCTGGTATAGTATTTTCTAGATCAGTGGGTAACTAGAATGCAAAAACAGCCTTTTTTCCCCTGAGTCTAAAGCTCATTTTTACCACACACAACCATCAAGTAGTGGGCATTTAAATCACTCCATACATTAGTCATACTACACATTTGTCTGAGTATTTTTTAAATCTTGATTCTAAGTTCAATTAATAGCTTGATTAAATACGTGGACTCTTAGCCATTAAAAGAAAAATGAAAATAACTTTCATGCCCTTTATATACAAATGCAGATACAAGTGTAATAATAGAAGGTGCTCACACATGTGTACAAACTCACATGTACATACATATAACTAAGGCATTTACGTTTAGGGTACAAATTTTTTTGAGGTTTTTTTTAACGTTTCTTTAGTAGAAATTGTTTAATTGAAACTTATTAAAACATACATTCCCATATTTCTGGCTTCGGCTTGACTTAGATTTTCTTCCGGTCCTACTATTTTTATAGTACTGATTTCATGTTTAGCTTTATCAAAAAATACCTTGATGTCCTTCTCATGATAAACTTCCTGTAAAATATTTAAAAAATAGAAAATCAGTGAGAAAATAAGACAATAAGATGATTGAAGTATCCATATGTAGGCGGAGATTCACATTCAAAGTGGTGAATTCTAATTATGTAATTGAGTTTACATAATCACTCAATTACAGGCAAAATGATAACCAAATTAAACATGTTTTATTTAAATATCACCTACATATCACATATAGAATCTAAAATACATACATATTAATATTTTTAAGAGGAGATACTTCAGTATTATGTTAACATTTACTCCTAGACAAGTGATTACATAAATATTTAAATCCTGGGTGTTACAAAGTGTTTCCCACCGCAGGTTGGAAGAAGGCTGTAGAAAGGGCTAGGGCCTAAGAATGATAAACATGTGCTATAAAATATCCATAAAAAATGTATATTACACCTAATAGACATTAATCTGTTATATATAATAACTTTATAAAATAAATACCGGCATTGTATCTGTGACACCAGAGAGAAAAAAATAATGATCATATAGAAAATTGTGGTTTTACAAAAACAGTATTTAACAAACTTTTGTTGATGGGAAAATTATCAACATAAAGTCATCAAATTAGTTTCATTATACTGTACCACAACTTTGATTAAGATTATCTCTCCCCCTCATTAGAGCATTTCAGAGCTTTTTATGTATCAAGTCTTTTTAAGTATTTTAAAAAGCTTTTAATATCTTGTTAATACTTATCACATAAAGGCTACTCAGAGTTAATTTTAACTAAAAAAACATAGAAACTCCTGCCATCAAAGAGCTTTAGGTTCTATGAAAGGAGGAAAAGTATAAATAAAAGACAGTGCAGGGTAGGGCAAAAGTAGGCTTACAGTTGTTCATATGGAAAATAATACAATAATTAATAACAAAAATAAATTCTGTTTCCCACACTCACAGCTATAAACCTACTTTTGCCACATACTATATATAAAAAAACAAAACACTTTAATGTAAGTACACTACAACACATTTTACAAGCAAATAATCAATGATTCACCCTTTTAAACTTATTTTAGCTGGTTTTCTATAAATTTAAAACATTCTCTGGGAAAGGCAAATGATTAGCTGGCATGTACATTCAGAAACAAGAATAATGGTAAAGAAAAAGTACTAGGACAGAGGGAGAAAATATTTCATAGCTATGGAGTTTTTCTTGATGATGTTAAATACTAACTTTTAACAGGAAAGAGATGAATTCATGTGTGGGAGGCTCTAAATATTTTTGAAGGAAATAATATCAAATCCCTTAAGGAAAGCATGCAAGTGTGTGATTAATTAAAACAATACTCTACCTGGAAGATATTTCAAGTTTTAATGTTATGATATTACATAGGCTGCAAATGATTAATGACAGGTTCTATAAAAGAAAGTGCCAGAACTAACCCAAACATAAAGGAATATAAGGCCCTCCACCATCTCTTTATTATATATTAAGTTGATCCACAGGAAATGGTTAATATTCAACCATTTTTGATCTACAAAAATTGTCAGTTTTATGAGGCTTATCCCATTATTATGACAGTAATTTCTAGACTCTTATCCTTAAGTCTAAAAAAGGCAGGGCAGTAATTACTCTAAAAATTCCCTACTTAATTTAGCCCCATGGATTTTTTCAGACACAAATAGATGCTAACAAATAGTTCCAAAGAAAATTTTTTAAAAAAAATTTACATAAAATGTTCATTTATCAAATACTTACTTTGTTATGAATAAATACTTTAAGTGCTTCTTTTGGGTAATCCAGAGTCAGTAATGTGTCCAGAAATCGAGGTAGAAAAGGGGTTGGTTGCTCAATAAAAACACCTATTGTTACATTTGGGTAGACCTTTATTTTATAGCAAACATAAGAAAAAATGATCATTAGTGTGTTTTTAATTTAAATTCTATTCAAGTCTTACTCAGAACAACATGAAATATACTAGAGTATCAGTTCAATGTAGTCAGCTAAATTTGAATGGCCCTATGGTAATTCTCCAACATTGGAAATGTAGACCCAATCAAAGTGATTGATTTTACTTAATCACATCTTGTCATTATGAATTAGGTTTGAAGAGAAAATTTAGTCTTATATTTATTATATGGATATAAATAAAGATAGTGCCTACTCTGCTACACAATGCTTCCTTTATGATATACCTTAAAGAAACATCTTTCAGATCTGAATCTATTTTGACAGCTTTATCTAAAATTAGAATGCTAATTGTGTTTCCATGGCTTAGAAGTTCAGTGGTTAATTTGAAGCTTAGATAAAGTAATTAAGGAGGTCCTAAGCCTTTACTTCTATCCTTGTATATCTTCTTTAATCTAAGTTTATTATATATAATGTAATTTTCCTATATATAATATTATAATATATCTTGGTTCATTATAGTATTATATATAGAAAAGCTATTTTCTTTCACTAATACATTTTGTCTTGTTGTACCTATTTTTATATATATTTTTTAATTCCCTGGCTATGTTTTAGAAAAGAGTTTATCTTTCATTCATTGCATGCCAAATTCCAAAATAAATTTGTCAGTCCTTGTCAAAAGCAACATTTAGAGAAAGAAATGAAAGTTCCTGACTTGCAAACATACAATTGGGGAAGACAGAAACCTAACTAAATAACTATGTAATAGTGTTACTACAAGAACTATCTGAAAGAATTTCATAGTGCCATTTTTAAAACCATCTTTTAAAGCCAAATTTAAGTATTAAAATTTTTTTAAAACCATAGATGTTAAATGCTGCATTAGGGTAACTCCATCCACATTCCCCAACATGGTACTTCACATACTCCATTGCTATCTGGATAACTTAACACTTATTTCCAGTGAAGTAAGCCTTGAACACCACTGTATTTCTATATCAATTCATTAATTTACCCAAACAACTAAAGACAAAATATCTACTCTTTCATTCTTAATAATAAAGGAAATAACTACAAAACTGATCACAACTCTATCAAATGAGATAAAACATTTCATTTAAATTTTGTAACTTAGATTATAGAGGAGGATCCAGATGGTGGCTGATTAGGTAGAAGCTACACTAACATCCTTCCAGGACCAAACTGGAAATACAACTAAATTATAGAAAAACCATGCTGAATAACCAACTGAAGACTAGCTGGAGAAAAGCATTATAACCAAGGACTGACAGAAGAAGCCACGTCCAGGCTAGAAGGGAGTGCAAAGGCATAAGAGGGCTGGCTGGGCTCCCACAGGAGCAGAGGATATCTCAGCTGTGGGGTGGGCAGGGGATGGGGGGGAAGTTCCCCAATAAGCATGGGGTCTAAAATACAAGGCAGTCTCCCCAGCCCAGAGCACCAGAATAGGGAAAGGCTCCCACATAACATTGGCTGTGAAAAGCATTAGAGTTTCTGTCTAACAGGAAGAGACAGCTAGAGATGAAGCCATCCTCTTAAAGGGCCAATGCACAACACTATGTTTCTAGCCACTTAGCCTGGGTTCTGGCAGAGGGAGGCGAGAGAACACAAGAGATATGTGAGGAAAGTCTGGGATTGGTGGCTCTGGATAGAAAACTGAAGGGTCAACAACAGGATCCCTATGCACAGTCAGTCCCCATTCAGCAGAGGCCATCTTTCTCAGGCAGAGCACTCCCCTTGACAAGGCATCAGCCTGGGAAGAAGCATTAGCCCCACCCACAGGAATCTGTCTTGCCCCACTCTGTGGAGTTTAAGCACTGCTGAGAAGTATAGCATGAAATTCTTTGAATGACTAAGCCTAACAGACAGCCTGCAGGCAAAGGCGGATCACTGGGTGTTTTGAGATATTTGCTAACACGTCCCTGGGATGGTGCTGATAAAAGCTAGCCTTGCTGTGCAGCTAGGTCCTTTCCACATACACCCAAACTCAGCAGAGGGAGCCACAAACTGGATCAATGATAGCTCCAAATAGGATGCCCAGGGCCACTCATAGGCAGCATCTGATATAGGCCTGCTTCTGAGTTTTTGCAGATCTACATAATACATTGAAACAAACACAAAGAGACAGCTGAAATGGGGAAACAAAGAAACAGACCACAAATAAAAGAACAAGAGAATTCTGTAGAAGAAGAGCTAAATGAAACAGAGGCAAGCAATTTATCACATCTAGAGGTAAAAATAAATGATTATAAGGATGCTCAACAGCATGAGAGAGGACATAGAAACAATAAAGGAACAGCCAAAAATATAGAATGCAATATTTGAAATAAATAATAAACTGGAAGGAATAAACAGTAGGTTCGATGAAGCAGAGGATTCAATCAGTGATTTGTTAGGGAAGGAGGGAAAAAAACACCCAATCAGAGCAGGAAAAATAAAATAGAATTTTAAAAAATAAGCAAAGTTTAAGGGATATTTGGGACTACATAAAGTGTAACAATATCCACATAATAGAACTTTATGAAGATATAATGACCAAAACTTCCCTAACCTGGTGACAGAAAAATTCCAGGAAATGCAGAGTCCCAAACAAGATGAAACCAAAGAGGCCCACACCAAGGTCATATCATTAAAATGGCAAAGTTTAAAGACAAAGAGAGGATCTTAAAGCCACAAGAGAAATTCAGTTAGTTACCTAAAGGGGAGCTCTCATAAGACTGCCATAAGAAACATTTTAGGCCAGGAGGGATTGGTATGAAATATTCAAAGTGATGAAAAGCAAGGAACTACAACCAAGTTTACTTTATCCAGGCCAGGCTAACATTTAAACTTGAAGGAGAAATCAAGAGCTTCCAAGACAAGAAAAAGCTAACGGGGGTTGTTACCACTAAAAGAGTATTACGACAAATGTTAGAGAGCTTGCTCTAAGAAAAGGAAGAAGAACAAGAATGGAGGAGATGAAGGAGGAGGAGGAGGAAGAAGAACAACAATGACAACAACAACAACAACAAGAAACCAAGGAACATATGTAAAGCCTTAGACCAAATGGCTTCACAAGTGAATTTTACCAAACATTCAGAGAAGTTCTAACACCTCTTTCTCTCAAAGTACTCGAAAAAATTCAAGAGGAGGAGACTCCCAAGCTCATTTTACAAGGACAGCAAAATCTTAATTCTAAAACCAGATAAGGACAATACAAAGAATGAAAATTATAAGCTAACATCCCTGATGAACATAGATGATAAAATCCTCAGTGAAATATTAGCAAAATGAATACAGCAATACATCAAAAATATCACATACCATGATCAAGTGGAATTTATTCCAGGGATACAAGGTTGGTACAATATCCGCAAATAAATAAATGTGATGTACCACACAAACAAAATGAAGGATAAAAACCACATATACATACCAATATATGCAGAAAAGCATTTGATAAAATCAAGCACCCATTTATAATGAAAATGCTCAGCAAAGTGCATATGGGGGGAACATACCTCAATGTAATAAAGGCCACATATGACAACCCCATGGCCAATGGGCAAAAAGTCCATTTCCCCTAAGTATTTCCCCTAAGAAGTGGTACAAGACAGGGATGTCTGCTTTTACCACTCTTATCCAACCCAGTAGTAGAAGTCCTCACCACAGCAATCAGTCAAGAAGAAATAAAAGGCATCAGAATTAGAAAGTAAGAGTAAAACTGTCATTTGCAGATGACATGGTACTATCTGTATATAAAAAACCCTAAAATTCCACCAAAAATCTACTACAACTGAAAAATGAATTCAGTAAAGTAACAGGATACAAAATAAATACCCAGAAATCAGTTGCACTTTTATATATCAATAATGGGGATACAGTCTGGCACAACCACTGTGGAAAGCAGTGCGGGTTTCCTCAAAAAACTAAGAATTTCTTATGACCCAGCAATTCTACTTCTGGGAATTTATCTGAAAAAAATACAAAACACTGATTCAAAAGACTACATACACCCCTAATTCATTGTAGCCTTTTTTACAATAGCCAAGATTTGGAAATAGCCCATGTCCATCAGCAGATGAATGGATAAAACAGCTATGGTACATTTACACATTGAAATATTACTTGGCCATAAACAAGTGTACCATTTGTGACAACGTGGATAGAGCTGGAAAACATTATGCTATGTGAAATAAGACAGTCATAGAAAGAAAAGTACTGTATGATTTCACTCATATGTGGAATCTAATGAACACAGTGAACTAACAAGCATAACAGATACAGACTCAAAGATACGAAAGCAGACTGACAGCTCTGTGCGGGGAGGGTTGGGATAGAGCCAAAAAAAATGAAAGAACTCATAGACAGAGACAACAGTGTGACTCTGCGACTGATCTCAGAGTCAGGCGAAGATAAATGGAATACTACTCAGCCATTAGAGAAGACAAAATACTGCCATTCACAACAACATGGATGTATCTTGAGAATATCATGCTAAGTGAAATAATTCAGACAAAAAAAGGCAGGAACCATATGATTTAACTCATATGTGAGATATAAAACTGAAAGCAACAAATTAACAAAGAAAAGAAAACAAACAAAAACCCATAGACACAGACAACCACAGATAACCAACTATGGTGGTTACCAGAGGGAAGCAGCGTGGGAGATACCAGGGTAAAAGAAGTCAAATATATGATGATGAAAGATTTTACTTTGGGTGGCAGACACACAATGCAATATATAAATGTATCATAAAATAAACCTATATAATTTTAATTGCCAATGTTACCCCAATAAATTTAATTTAAAAAAAGAAAGGGATTCAAGGAAAAATAAAAAAATAAAGAAAATTAAAAGCTCCTAACTATGCACAAGTTAATCTTTATCCTCCTTTCAGACAGTTATATGAGTACAATTAGGTAATGTTTTACAGTATTCACAAAATACAAAAATAGTATCTTGTATTTGCATGGGTCCAGGAGTTACTGCTGATTTTATTTTTGTCTATTCATTCTACTTATGTGGCATTCTGTAGATACTCAATAAACTTATGGTGAATGAAGGAAGGAGTCAACCTTAATGACCAAAATCATCCCTAGAATCCATACACATAATAGATTTCCAATTCACATGAGCAATTTTTTTTGGAATAAAACTGTTACTATAGAATATTCTAAAACTGCTCTGGTATTGACAGAAGAATCAATAAAAATGTATTTCCAATTGATCATTTACCCTAAAAGTATAAATGATAAACTATAGTATAATCCTCTATAAAATATCTACAGGGTGAGGCAAAAGTAGGTTTACTGTTTTAAGTACATGAAATAGAGTTTATTCTTACATTGTTACTTATTAATTATTGCTTTATTTTCCATACAAACAACTGTAAATCTACTTTTGCCCCTCCCTGTATATATAAGCAGCACTGTGCCTGGCATATATGATGTATATGACATCCAGGCAAAATTGCACAATCATCAAGAACATGGGATCCGGAGCCAGATGGCCAAAATTCAAATCCCATCTCCAACACAAAAAAAATTCTATGCCCTTAAGCAAGTTACTTAACTTATATATACCTCAGTTTTCTCATCATAAAACTCAGTCAATTGTACTACCTATTGAAAAAAGTTTATGCAGTTTAAATAAATTACTATATGTAAAATTCATGAAACAGTCCTTTCTTATACAATAATATACTATTTGTAAGTCAAATTTAAAATCAAGCACACATAAAATTAGTTAATAAAAATGCTAAAGCACTGTAACTATTTTTTCCCCGATTCTTTCACCAGGTTAACAGACTAAAATAAAAGAAGAACACCCAATCAAAGCAAGCTATTAAATATTAACAACCAAACCCCTTTTATTAGGGTAAATTATCAGCTGGCTTTGCTTTCAAAAATAGTTCAGATATACACAAATTTAGCAATTTTCTTAATCATGTTTTAGCTTTACAAATCCATTATCTACTTATCAAAACTATATCATCAAAACTATACAATAACATGCCTGCCCTCTCTTTTACAAACACTGTATTTCATGACAATGTTTTTTTTCTTACTACATTTTACCCAGTCAATTCCACTTACATTTACTGTAGACAAGTCAATTGTATCCAATTCACAGAAAGTGCAGCCTTTATCCTGTGTCCATGCATTAGGTACATAGTTCCCGAAATAATTCAGGAGAATCTAGTGAATGAAGGAAAACTGTATTAACAAAAGTTATCCTCTGCTTTCAAGGTACTTTCATTCCATATAACTGGTACATGTGACGGGGTAGATTCCTTTAATAATTATATTACTATTTACCACTTAGAGGTACACACTGAACAGCATTATCCCCAGACAAAGAATCATAAAGCAGGTCAAACTTTGTTAAAAATGCCAAAAAGTGCTTTATGAACCATAAAGGTCATTTAATCTATTATATAAGGAATGATACTAGAAGAGACACAATTAAAGAAATACGTCAAACAATGAAACAGTTTTAATTGGGCTAATGAGATTTATCAGAAAAACATCATAAGAACAGTCTTGTGCAGGGTAAGTTAGTAACAAGATAAACGTTTAAACGATCAGTGCCAATAGCTACAGCGAATGGGGCAGTGTCAGTGTGACCTCTTACCAATTATTACCACACAAAGGAAGTTACCAAAAGGCACTAAAATATGCTATATACTATAAACTGGGCCTCTGGGGCACTGATTTCAGGAAAAGAAAGCTTGCAAATCAAAACAGGCAACCTGCAAATTACAGCCACTCCACAAATCCTATTGACAATAAGCTATACTGCCTATTGACAATAAGACAATACTGCTTCCCACCCACCCCTTTCAGGTCTATCAGAGCATCTCCTCTGTCACTCACCCTCTCCCCCAACGCCCCACCCTCCACCCTTCTTAAGCACCTACTGGCTAGCATTCATTTTTTCTGTAACATCTGTGTCCTTCTGTGTTCTGGATGAGGGAGCAGGTGAGAGAAGATGGATGGAAAAACGCAAACACACTAAAATATGTTCTCAGCCCTCAGACAAATCTTGAATATCCCTAGATTTGAATATCTTAGGAAAAATTCTTCCAATTTACTTGAAAACGATTATTGTATTTTCTACTGTAAGATTAATACCTATAGTGGTATGAACATCTGCAAAGTTTTATTGTTTCTTTTTACAAAGTATTTCACTTCAAGACAGTGAAGCTGTAGCAAACTAGCTTTGGCACGGACTTTGTTACTTTTAACAGGAAGCACCTAAAATCCTTGTTATGCTATATAATCACTGACTTTTCATTGGAAAGGTGAGATGGACTCAAAAGAAAAATATGATGGTCAAAAAAATACAGAAGTGCCAAGTAAATTTTTCTAGCTTACTAAGACTCTAGAAAACATCTTAGGTACAGAACAATTGAGATAATTACTCCAGTATCATTCTACAAAAATCCTCCAAGATATTTCAGATTCCATCCAAATATTTCTACTGTACTGAAACTAAAATATGTATAACAAGTACAGTACTAGTTACAATGGGAAAATCTGTTAGATACTACAGATGCAGTTACAGTCAATCTGCACAGCACACAGAGGACATGAACAGCAACAGACTCAGCCACGTTTCTTATGAACTACATGATAATTTAGGAAACAAATTACAAGGCAGGAAATACATAGTTCTGGCATTTGTTAATGACATTTCAAGAGTCAACTGGTCACTTTAATGTGCCTCTAAAATAAAAAAAAATTATTTTGCTGTTGTCAAATCACAGATGCAAACAATTTAATCATTTGTGTTCTGTACAAAATTATGGTTTTGAAGGAAGAAAATAAAGCAATTCATGTGAAAATAAATTATGTACTTAGCATTATGTGCCAAAGAGATATTTTGAAGGCTAGTGGAAGATAGAGTTTTGTTTAAAACGTCCTGAGAATTTTTTTTAAAGGAAAAAAAAAAAACCCCAAATAGTTGGCCATATCTAAAATTCCCATCTATATATATTTACCTCAGAAATCTCATAAAAAGCTAAATATTTATTTCATGAATTATTGTCAGTTTATTTGATTCCCAATGTGAATGTGAAAATGAGCCAATATTTTTTGAAAGGTCTGAGCATAAAAGGCATTACCTTTAGTTCTCAAAATCAAAACTGTATTTTGTAACCTTTCTACTTTTAACTGGAAACCTCCCTCTTGGATTTCTCACCACATAGGCAGAGGTCATCCACTACTCCAGCCTTCCATTTACATCTGTTTTCCTCATTGAAAACCGCAGACATTTATGCTGGCAGCTTTAAAAAGTGCAGAAAACTGTTTATGTATTTAGGCTGTTCTGGGAAGTCCCCAGCTACTAGGTGGCAGTCCTTTCCTCATTCTCCTTTCACAGTATCAATACGTTGCCAAGTATAATGTCATTTCATTGGCAAAGAAACTTTTCCAACTCCATCCTTTCTTTTTTCTAAATCATTCAATTACTCAAGGTCATAGTAACCCAAGCATGGTAGCTTTTATGGAAAAAAACAAATTTTTATTGCAAATCAAAATAGTTTCAGACGTGACTTGTTTTCATGCGCAAATTAGGCGACATGATCTTGTTCTTTCAAACTTCTGTTTGTATAAAAATGCCACCACTTTCACAGTGATTACTTTAAGATGTATATTATCTGATATTTAAAAGAAAAGGTTGAGCATTTCATATTTTCTTATGGCTGAGTAGTAGTCTGTGTATATAGATACCACATCTTTATCCAATCACCTATCAAAGGACACTTGGATTGTTGCCACCATGAATAATGATGCAATGAACAGAGGGGTGCATATATCTTTGTGAATAAATGTTTTCAGATTTTTCACATAGATACCAAGAATAGTCATACGATAACTCTATTCTTAATTTTTTGAGGAACCTCCATGCTGTTTTCCATAGTGGCTATTCCAGTTTACATTCCCACCAGCAGTGAATAAAGGTTCCTTTTTTTCCCACAACCTCTACAACTCTTGTTATTACTTGTCTTGTTAATAACAGCCATTCTAACATGTGTGAGATGGTATCTCATCGTAGTTTTGATTTGCACTTCCCTAATAGCTAGTGATGTTGACTATCTGTTCATATATCTGTTGGTCATTCGTGTATCTTCTTGAGAGAGGTGTCCTCTGCCCATTTTTTAATTGGACTGTTTGTTTGCTTGGTGTTGAGCTGTATGCATTCTTTATATATTTTGGATATTAACCCCTTTTCAGAGCCATTGTTTGCAAATATCTTTGTGCATTCATAATAAAATAAACAGCTTAGGACCATGTGAGATCTTGCTCCTTGGCTTATGTCATCAGTTTGGCTCAAATAAACTCTTACAAAAGCTGTCCAAAAAAAAGCACCTAAAAAAAAAAAAAAAAAAAAGAACAAAGCTCTGGCTGGTGTGGCGCAGTGCATTGAGTGCCAGCCTGCAAACCAAAGGGTCAATGGTTTGATTCCCAGTTAGGGCACTTGCCTGGGTTGCAGGCCAGGTCCCCAGTAGGGGGCATGCAAGAGGCAACCACACACTGATGTTTTTCTCCCTCTTTCTCCCTCTCTTCTCCTTTAAAAATAAAATAAAATCTTTATTAAAAAAACAGAAAGCATGATGAAATGGCCTCAATAAAATAATAAAATAACTTACATTTTTTAAAAAGCATCTTCTGATGTATTATTAATAAGAAATGAGCTTTAGGAATAAAAAGTAAAGCTTTATATCAGATATCATAATATCTATCTAAAAACTGATTTATATTAGATTTTATCTAGATAAGGACAAAAATTACATAGACTACAGAAATATATTTCAAATAAAATGCTAATTAAAAAGCACAAAATTTTTTATAAACCATTATGAAAACAATGAAAAATAAGAATGCTCATAGATGTATACTGAAAAGACATAAAACAGCTATGAATGAAAACAATATGGCAAGGTTAGTGGGTTTTTAAGTGATTTTTATTTATAAATTGTTCTTCCTAATAATAGCATAAAATTTAGAGAAAGTAACTAAGAAATAAACTCATTTTTATATACTTTAGTCTATAAACATACTATAAACAATTTATCATTTACAGATTATGTGTATACAGTAGTTCCCCCAAGTCGTAGTTTAACTTTCTGGAGTTTTGGTTACGCTGATCAACCTCAATCCAAAATATTAAAAGAAAAATTCCAGAAATAATGAACTCATAAGTTTTAAATTGAACTTATGAACTCTTAAGTCACCCCACTCCTGCCCAGGACATGAATTATCCCTTTGGTCCAGGTACCAAACTTGTATATGTTCCACACTGGTTTAGTCACTTAGTGGTTAGTCATTAAGTAGCCTTCTCAGTTATCAGATTAACTGTCATAGTATCACAGTGACTGTGTTCAAGTAACTCTTCTTCTACTTGGCCCAAGTGCAGTAGTAGTAATGCTGGCAATTTGTACATGACAAAGAGAAGCTATAAGTGCTTCTTTAAGTGAAAAGATATGTATGTATAGGAAGAAAAAGAATATGTAGGATCTGGTATGAACCACAGTTTCAGGCATCCATGGGCGGTCTTAGAACACATTCCCTGCAAGTAAGGGTGGACTACGGCATTATGGCTTAGGTATTAGTGAGTTCAATGTTACGGCACAAAAACCATTGACATTATACTCATTCTTCACTAAACAATAACTAAAATTAATTTATTAAACCTCATGTAAAAATACTTTCAACTTTTATGATTGTTTATAAAAAGAGTTTATATCTAAAGAGTAATCTGCTTTCTTTCCCTGTTAGCCTGGATTCAAGGGAAAGTGTGATATATCCATGTACCTCTATTTAACATTAATGTAATATTATTAAATAAAGTATTTGCATCAGCTGAGTCCTTATTTATATAAGCTTTTCTCAAATTTTTATATTGTACCAAATAATAAAAAGGATTACCATACTCATGTTTTGTTGTCAAATAAAAGGAAGATAGGCTAGATAGGATCATGTCAGAGAAAAGATAATAAGATCATCATACTGTTTAAGATGCCAGAAACAGTGATAGCTCAAACTGAGAATGTTTCCCAGGAGAGTTAAAATTTCTTAGTATATAGGTCTTTCCAAATGATTAAAGATTGGTGATCCTTTTTTGTGAGAAATCTTTTAGACACTTTGTAAAACTCCAGTCAGATTATCCTGGGAATTCAGAAGGAATTGTTGATCACATTGAAATCACTGAACCCACAATAGCTAAATTCTCAGAACCAAGCTTCCTCTTTAAAGACTTTTAGATTTGATTAAGGTAGTACATTACCAGAAAGGAATAGCACACTATTTAGTTATAGGAGATGTCTGTTTATACAAGCCCTTGCCTAAGGGGCACCAAGATATCAGACAAAGAGCTAAAAGAGAAACTGCAACACACCCAAACATACACACACTGTAAAGGACTTCATAGACAAAATTTGTCCATTTATCAAATTTTCCTAAAGACAGAATTTGCAGGTACCCACAGCAATTTTACGAATATTTTGTCCTGCCAGGGGAAAAAAAAAGTCTTAACATTCCCAAGAATAATGTTAGGTCACTATACTGTTTAGACTCATTTATTGACAGGCTAATGTAGGCTACATGTGTGCTGAATCCTAGGGAAACAAAAAGTGAATGGGATAGGTGTGAGCTCTGTAACCCCTAGGCTAAAGGCCTAGTAAGTAAGAGAGACTAAAGAACAGGTAAATTCCATCGCTGTCCTGTGTGTGGTATGTACTGTGGCGAACAAAGTTCCACCTATTATAAAAGCATGCAAGGAGCAGACTAAACTGATACCTAAAAGGTGACAAGACTTAGCAGATGGGTACAGGAGCGGGGATTGGGGCCGAGGATTCCAGAATGACTAAAACACATGTACAAAAGACTTGCACACAAAGGAAACATGAAACTTTTACGAAGTTCAAAGTAATTCAGTGTGGGAGGAGCTGAGGAAGAAAATGTTTGACTATGAGAAATGGGTATGTGGACATTTGTTGTGGCAGGAAGTGAGGGATACGGGATGGTAGATGGGTGATCACTAAACATGAGCAAAATTTTAAGAGTCTTATGAGACAAGTTGAGAATTTGGAACTTCATACATAAATACATGCATGGGTAAGTAATGTGATCAGGTCTCTAGCTCCAGGCTACTGGCGGGCAATTGCTACTGGTGGGAGGTGACAGGTGGCAGGTGGCCTGAAGTAAGGGAGTTGCCATGGGCATTGAGGAAATTAGATACACCACCATACACAGTAGTTAGAATAGCTCCTGGGTTGGGAGAGGGAAGCAACCACAGCCAAAAGAAACCTCAGGGTTTGGCTAATGAAGTAGATGGAAGAGGAGACAGAGCTTAAGGTCCTGAGCCCTGGGTCTCATAGGACACACAAATAAATCTACCACTTGGGCATTCAGGCCTGGGGTTCAGGAAAGACAATAGGGGTTAGTTCAAGGATCTGAAAAATCATCAGCATTAAGAGAGGATTTGCTGATATGGGAATGAAGCAAATTACCCAAGAATGTGTGTACAAGAGAAAAGGAAGATGTCTCAGATAGACACCTGTGGAACACTTAACTAAAACAGTACAGGAAGAAAACCACCCCCCAACACATACACAAAGGGTTAGATTTTTAAAATATATAAGAAAAAAAGAAAAAGAGAGAGAGACTGAAGAGTAAAGGCCAGAAAATCAGTAGACAAAGCAGCAGAATATCATCGAAATAAAGGGAAAGAGTATTCCAAGTAGGACCAAATGGGATCAACATGTCAAAAGTTATCTTTAGATGAAGTAAAAATGAGGACAACTGAGTGTTTACTATTCAAAAGAGATGTCACAACCCACAAGACCTTAACAGGCGCACATCCTGGTGTGTGCGAAGGGGAATAATGGTGGCAGCAAGCTGTCTCTACGTGAAGGAAGTGTGGCTGTGAAGGGAGGAGAAGACGGGCAGGCTGCAGGGCAATGTGGGTCGCGGAGGATATAGCAGTTTGTGTTAGCTCCGTGTCGTTTTGTCTAGAGGATGGGAAAGACTTGAGCGCCTGTAAATGCTGATGAGACAAAGAATGCAGCTGGGAAATTGATACAAGATACAGAAAAGAGAGCACAGGGGAGAGCTGGGAGGGGATGAAGAGCAAAGTGGAAAGATTAACTAGAGAAGGGGAATCTATTTCCTTTTTGATGGAAATCCAGCCAACGTGGGCTTTCCCTTGAATTTTTTCCCATAAGTGTAGCTTTTGTTGGAATTCAGACCACTCACTTCTCTGAAATAGCACATACCTCCCCATCTTGTCTTCCCACAATGCAAATCTGTTCATCTCTTTTCCAGATACTTATGAGTAAACCAGCCAACTCAGTATCTCAAAACACTATTTTAAGCACACACACACACACATACATATATACACTTAAACATATATGTGTGTGTATACATATATACACTGTACAGGTACACATACACACACAAATTCATGTTCCATTTTAATAGGATACCAGTAAAACAGACTTTACGAACTTATCTATAAGTCTGCAGTCAATAACATTTTCAGCAAGCTCAACTATATATATTTGAAAAGCATCCAAAATTTCATTAGTCAAGGTTATGTTTGCCAACTACAACTCAGGTAGAAAATAAGTGCAAGAGGAAGTTCTCTGTCCAATCTTAGCAGAGTTCTTAATTTAGAAAATGGTGACTGAGATGAAACAAATGATCCCTTAACAACCTCAAAGATTCATATTCAGGAGATACTCTATATGAAGGAAATGTGGCTCACTTTCCAGTTAGCTGTTATTATTAAACACTGAAATGAAAAGTGTTACAAATAGAATAAAAAGTTATTACTCGGCTAAGAAAAAGTCATCCACTAATCTGAATGAAACCATATCATACACTGCGTAAAAGATAAAACCAGTAAATTATTGGCAACAAAATAAAGCCTCTTAAAGATATTAAAAAAGAACATATTATACATATTGCTCCACAGTCTATCTCCAATAAGTAAGAAAACAGAGAAAAGCCACTGTGAGTCACCTTGGTGGGTCCATTTCCATTAATTGCCACTGGTAATGTTTCATAAAATACATTCTTAGCTCTGGCTTTGCCATTTTCAAATTTCAAAACAACTTCATCTGAGTTAAAAAGAAAAACAGGTTTTAGTAATTTAAAATGTGAGTGTATATTCATATATACATACATATACATCCTTGTTGTTTTAGACTTGCACATGCATGCTATTCTGTGTGTTACAACACTTCTAGTAACTTGGACTACTCCTAAGTCAACAGACACTCAAATGGCACAGAATCAGATTCTGAGCGCCTCACTTGCTCCAATTTGGCACCAGCAGACTGAGGAGCCGGACCACTGAGGTGTCTGGCGGAAGGAGAGCCTTTCTGTAATCTTGCCTCCGCACCTTGATAGTGATACGATCCTAAAACAGTTAAATTATAGTCTCAATTTATTCATCGGTAAAATGGGATCCTTGCCTGCCTTTCAAAGTTATTATGAAGATAATATATGTACAGCAAATAGAACACTGCCAGGCACAATAAGCAAAGTTTCTAGTTCTTGGCAGTCAAGTTTAATATAAATTCCTAAAATATGTACAAGTCACATGGGAGCAGAAAGGTTTTTTTTGTTTGTTTTCCGGTTCCTTCCCTCACATTTCCTGAGCACTCCCCACTAAATGCTTTCCATTCTGAGAATCCTGTTACTCTATGCACCGCTTGGAGGAACTATGTTGAATTGCAATGTATTTTTTAATTTTAAAACATAATGCATTAGTGAATTAATGTATGTTTATTTTTAATGTATTTATTAATTTTAATATATTAATGTATTTTATCAAGAGATACGTCTATTTAGGTAAACACACAGGTACACATGAATGCATGCATTCAAGTACATGCACAGACACACACACTCCACAGTGAATTTTTACCAGGTACATTTTAACTAGGTGAAAATACTCTCATACTCTACCATTCCAGAGTAATTCACAATACAGAGAATTTACAATGAAAAATGTGTAATGATAAGTGTGATTAATTTAGAAATACATCTATAGTCCCCAGACAATGAGATGCTAAATTCTAAGTTACCTAAGGCCAGAAGCTTATCCTTTTTGCAACAGTCTCAGGTAATAATTTTAACCTAATGCATTTAACTATATCAATAAGCTCAAGTCCAATATTATTTAAAAGTTGCAGTATCTACCAGTACACCTTAGCCACAGCCCCAAAATATAACAAAAGGCAGACCGCTGAAAACACGGGTGTCCATTTGTATACATGAGCAATCCAGGATTTAGGAAGCGTACCTACAGCTCCATTTAAAGCCTGGAAAATTTTGCATTTGTGATCCAATGTGATGTTAAGAGCTTCCTAAAATAAGAAAAAAGATACTATTAAAAATGACAACAAAAACAAACAACGCCATTATGTTAAGATAGTTTTTTCTTTTAAAAATTTTTAAAATCCCGTATATAAATTATTCCAGCAATATGCCTCAGAAAGACTGTAATTTTATAGCTGATTAAATTAGAGGATAGAGGTATGGGAAAGTATTCATACTATTGTCTAAGTGTTTCCACTTCTCCACCTTCTGACTAATTCTGACCAGTGAAATTGTTAGCAGAATTAAAATCAATCACTTCCAACATGGAGATGTCATTACTAGTCCAAGACCCTAAGAGTGCTCCTTCTCTCTGGCATATGAAGCAGCAATTTTGGAGATGCCTGCTCCATCAGCCAGGGTCCCGAAGTGACTACAATAAGCAGAAACACCCAGCTGACTGATAATGGACTTGGAGCAGAAGAAATAAATCTCTGTTGTGTTAAGCTATTGAGCCTGGGGATTGTTAGTGCAGCATAAACTGCCCAAAGGTCACAATAGGTTGGTAATGAATCAAACCAAACATAAAGATTAATCTGCTTTAGAAACCTTATGATCCTCAATGCACAAGTTTTTCAGCTACATTGCTCTGTCACAATAATGTTCCTAAAATTATCTTTGTATGCTATTCAGAATTGAATATTTGTGTTCCCTCAAAATTCATATGTGGAAATCCTAACCCCATTGTGATCATATTTGTAGTTGGGGCCATTGGTAGGTAATGAGGGTTAAATTCAGGTTATGAGAGTGGGGTCCTCACAGTGGAAATTTTGCCCTTATAAGAGGAAATATGAGAGTTTTGGCACACATGTGTACACTCTCTCCCCCGCTCCATCTATCTCCCCACATGGGGAGCAAGCAAGAAGATGGCCATCTCTGAGCGAGGAAGACAGTTGTCACCAGAAACTGACCATGTTGGCAACCTTATCTCAGACTTCCAGACTCCAGAGCTGTAAGAAATAAATTTCTGTCGTTTAAGCCACCCAGTCAGTGGTATTTTGTTAGGCAATCCCAGCAGACTAAGACATGCTAACCAGACAAAAATCTTAGGTTAGAGAGAAACTTAAACAGGATTTAGTCAACCAAAAACATCACAAACATCTTTAGGATGAGGAAGCATTCTAAAGACAGCTACGTAGCCCTCAAAGCACTTTCCCAGGTGAATTTCACCAAGAAAAGGTGAGCACCACGCTGCCTGGGTGGGCACTCCTGCCAGAAGGAGACTTCTTCTCCAGGTGAGAGACCAAGTCCTCAGGCCCGCCGTGTCAGGCACAGGAGGGAAAGTGAGAAACAGAGATGAAGACAGTAAACAGTTTAAGAATGAGGTTTCTTAAGCATTAAAAGTCTATTGAAAATATTTACCTAAGAAACAGAGACAGTTTTAGTTACAATTCACTATAAAATGTACTTTTAAAAAACCTTGTTTCCTAATGACAGCACCCACAAAGACACAATTCAGTAAATTTTAGAACTCTATTGGTGACATATAGTAAACATGAAACATTAACTTGTACTATGTAAATATAATAAAAATATTGTTGATTAGAGAACTTTGGTTTTACTTTTATTCTTTTATACATTTTTATTTTTTTATTTTGTAATTATATTTTGTTGATTATGCTATTATAGTTGTCCTGACTTTCCCCCCTTTGCTCCGCTCCACTCAGCAGCACCCCCACTCCCTCAGGCACTCCACCCACCGTTATTCATGTCCATGAGTCATGCTTATAAGGTCTTTGGCTTCTCCATTTCTTATACTTTATTTTATATCTCTATGGCTATTCTGTAATTACCTATTTGTACTCCTTATCCCCCACCCCCACCTCTTCACCTATTCCCCCACATCCCCTTCCCACCTGGCAACCATCAAAACATTCTGTTTCTATGATTCTCTCTCTGTTGTTCTTGTTTGCTTAGTTTTTTAGATTCAGTTGTTGATAGATTTGTATTCTTTGCCATTTTACCGTTCATAGTTTTCATCTTCTTTTTCTTAAATAAGTTCCTTTTACATTTCATATAATATTTGGTGATGATGGACTCCTTTAGTGTTTTCTTGCCTAGAAAGCTCTTGATCTACCCTTCGATTTTAAATGATAGCTTTGCTGGGTAGAACAATCTTGGCTGTTGGTCTCTGCTTTTCGAGACTGAGTATTTCTTGCCAATCCTTTCTAGCCTGCAGAGCTTCGTTAGTGAGACCAGCTGACAGTCTCATGGGAACTCCCCTGTAGGTAACTAACTTCTTTTCTCTTGCTGCTTTTAATACTCTCTCTTTATCATTAACCTTTGGCATTTTTATTTTGATGTGCCTTGCAGTGGTCCTCTTTGTATCCGTATTGCTTGGGACTCTCTGTGCTTCCTGGACTTGTATGTCTATTTCCTTTAGCACATTAGGGAAGCTTTCATTCATTATTTTTTCAAATAGATTTCCAATTTATTGCTCTTTCTCTTCTCCTTCTAGCACCACTATGATGCAAAAGCTGGGCCTCTTGAAGTTGTCCCAGAGGCTGCTTATACTATCCTCATCTTTTGGGATTCTTTTTCCTTCTTGCTGTTTCAATTCGTTGTTTTTGCTCCCCTGTGTTCCAAATTATTAATTTGATTCTTGGCTTCATGCACTCTACTATTGTTTTCCTGTGAATTGTTCTTCATTTCAATTAGTGAATCCTTCATGTCTGACTAGATCTTTTTTATGCTGCTCAGGTCCTCACTGAATTCCTTGAGCATCCTTATGGCCAGTGTTTTGAACTCTGCATCTAATAGATAGCTTATCTCCATTTCATTTAACTCTTTCTGGAGCAGGCCAGCCAAGGTCAGCCCCAACCTATGTTTTGTCACGGGCCACCCTGTCTGAGCTATAAAGCAATCTGAGATGGCTGCTGCTTGTGCTGGGCTTGGAGATTCCCAGGTAAAGCCAAGGTGTGTATCTAGGCTGGCTGTGGCTTGTGCTGGACCTGGGGCTCACTGAGACCAGCAGTCCATTGTTTGAGAGGATTTAGGAAGTTGTAAGACATTAACCAAGACCAACCATTCACATGGAAAAGCAGCCTGGGTGGTGCTATAAGTTGGGTGGGGGGGAATCTCTGGGTATCTCCAAGGGGGGTCAAATAGTGTTTGGCAGGTTGATGGAGTCTCAGATATGACACCAACTTGCACGATCTGTGGAGGGTTTAGAAAAGGGACAATGGCCTCTGCTTGCCTTGATGCCAGACACTTCAGGTTCTCCTTGTATACCACTGATACCTTTCAAGCTGCTATATCACCGCTAGAGCTCAGAAGGAGTGAGTCTGAGTAGGTGGGTCTGTGTGTGGGTTCTTTAAGAGAAACTGCTTGGGATTCCAGCAGTTTCTTCCACCAACTCAGTCCCCACTGGATTTTGCAGTCAGAAGCTGTGGGGACTTATCTTCCGGGCACTGGGACCCTTGTCTGGGGGCCTGATGTGGGGCTGGAACTCCTCATTCCCGAGATATCCCTCCCAAAATTTTATCCACCACATGTGGGTGAGGTCCCAGTCTGTTCCACATCTGTGCCCCTTCTACCAGTCTGGATGGATGTAGTTTCTTTATTCTATAGTCATCAGACTTCCATTCAACTTGATTTCTGATGGTTCTGAGTGATGGTGGTTCTATATTTTAGGTGTAATTTTAATGTGTTTGTACAAAGAGGCAAGCCATGTCTGCCTACATTGCCATCCTGACCGCAAGTCCAGGTTTTACTTTTCTCCAAAGTTTCATTCAAATCAATCTCAGGAGTGTTCTCTCCAGGACCTGTGGCAGACTGCCATTGGCCTTAATATCGCTCCCCTGCTTAATTACAGTTCTCAGGTTTCTAGAAAGACATATGTACTTGAAATAAAGGACAACACTTCCTTTGCATGTTATATGTAGCCACATAAATATGTTGTAGTAAGAGAAAAATGTGAGAGAGTATTTTATGGGAAGGATGTTGACAAAACTGAGAAGGTCCCTTATTTACTATTCTGCTGCTAACTGCCCAGAATCTCCAGTAGCCAACAAGAACAAGGTTACATGGAAAATGGAAGCAGGAACTACTACATACCCTCTTCAGTGGATCAATGTAAATTTTAGTATAAAACAGCTGATCATCATCATTATCCTGTAGATTCCACTGTTGAACTATACGGTTGATATATGGAGCATAACCAATAAATCCTGCAACATAACAGAGAGAGAATAGAGAATTTAGTATTCAAAGACCAAAACGCATGTCTATGTTAATTCCATTAATTCCATCAACCCACTGGTTTCACAGTTTTAAACCTATTCGGTCTAATCCGTAGGCTGGAACTGTCACAGCTCACCAATGAGAGAAATATGAGTTATTGACAGTCTTTTGTTTTATATATAAATTACAATAAAGTGAATTTTATTTCTAACTGCAAATCAAAGATTCTTTCAATAAACACATTCCCCAAATTATCTTATACAACAGGGAAAACTAACACTTTCCAGGACTCCTAAGGGAAACAGCTACTAGTAAAAGAATAGAACAGACAGAAGAATGTTCTTTCTGACCTCCTAAAATGCTCTTCTTGGCTCCTTTATACTGGACTCACTGTTTCTGAAAAAAAGAAAATCTCTACTACAATGATTTTAACGTCAATGCCAGATGCTAACGCAATCAAAGGAATGTTGGATTTGTCACTGACTGTAAACATCCCAAAGAAATTTTATATCTAGGACATTTGGGGAATTTTCCCTTTACTTGAGCTAGTCATTATTGTACCTGCTAAACCATTTTCTGGCTAACTTTTGTGTGTCATAGTCTGGAGAAAGGAAGTCTAAAATTGGATTGTTCCCCTTGGCTTGAGAACATAAGCATTAAGTTTGCCAACAACAGTTGTCTATAAAAAACACAGACAACAGGATCATTTTTCCCTTGTTTGAGTCTTCCACTGACTTTTAAAAATGCAGCCAAACTATGTTTCACCGACATGCAACACATTTTAAAAGAGACCAATTTTACTCCTGTGAATTAAAGAAAAACCTAACTTTTTACCCTCAAAATTAAAATTCCCTCATAAAAATACAAGAATTAAAAGAAATAGGTCCAGGAATATCACTGTTACCTAGTGAAAACAAGACAAAATAAAAACATGGCTAAACCAATCACTGACTGCTCATTTTTGTTATTTTTGCTAAATAGAAAAATCTTAAAAACACGGAGAAATGCAATTTTTGATCCTATGACCAATCTTATCTGATGAGAAATATTTGCAAGTACACCATGACATTTTCAATGGTTTGTGTTACTATTTTTCAAAAATTTTGTTTCCTTATCTTTTTTATAAAGCCCAAACATCCTAAAAAAAGAAAAAGAAAAAGAATTATAGTTGACCCTTGAACAATATGGTTTTGAACTTTCTGGGTCTCCTTAAACATGGATTTTTTTTTTCAATAAATATACAGTTAATCCTTTATGTCCACAGGTTTCCTACCTGTGGATTCAACCAGATCCAAGACTAAGAATCTGCAGATGTGGAGGGCCAACTGTATGCATTGTTTTATGCCATTTTACTTGAAACTTGAGCATCCATGGATTTTGCTATCTGCAGGGGATCCTGGGACCAATTTCTCTCAGGTACTGAGAGATACTGAAGTTTTGAGGGGTCAAAAGTTGTGCATGAATTTTTGGCTGCATGAAGATCAGTGGTGCCCTTAACACTTCATTGTCCAGTGGTCAAATATACATCTATTTTCACTGTATATGTATTTTACAATGATATGTATTTTATATGTTTTACAATTCTCCATTAAACCATCATACTATTTCAAACCACAAAATAAGGTTGTTTCATAATTATTTATAATTTACTATAACTTACATTACACTTTTCTGTCAGTATCTTACCCACCTCCTGAATTCAGGTAGCGTTTCCCAATGTGCACAACAGGATACTTGTCTGCTAGTCTTTTATCTGGCCACAAAATTCCATCTGCTGCAAAGACCACTTTGTGATTTGACTTTTGGAACTTTCTTAGAACTTCCTCTGGACCACCAGCAAATATAACATCAAAGCTGTTTAATGAGAGACAAAAAATTATAAAATACAAAAAAATAGACTTCATAGAATTTAGGCATATAAACCAAGAAGCAGTCTCTAATAAAAGTTGGAATTCAGAATCCAACGCAAGATTAATACCAATTACTTACTGAGTACACCAATTTTCCCTTGATTTAAGTTATATGGATTCCATTAAATTATTAGTGTCTGCATCACACTGAAAAGAGGTCCAAATAAAAGATTTTTTTTTAGTACTAGTCTTACTATTTTTTTCAATAATTACTTATTCCCCTAAATCAAAATTCTGAAAGTCTTGAAATGTTAAAAAGTCAGTAACTTGCTATTTAATATAATAGTATAGACACAATCATCAACAGAAATTACCATTGTAACTGTCTAATGTTTCCATTTAATTTGTAGCCATCCATTATACTTTTTGAAGATCTCATTGCCTTAAAAAAAATGTGGCCAACTACTGTGTCATCAATATTTATATGTATTTTCATCTTAATTTAGCCTGAAATCCTAAAATAAAGTCTACAGATAAATGCATCATTTTCAAGCTCAATAAACGTGAAAAAATTATGTAAAAACCTTAATTTAATGTCTATACTTTTGCTGATTTTTCTAGAGACTTCATTCCTTATAGTCTATGCACAGAATCACAATGACTTAAAAAACATGAAATATAAAAGCTACTACCTAATATATTTACATTCTGCAATAAGTTCTATATTTTTGCTACAGCCAAAAATTCTTTTGCATCATTCTTTGTTTTGTTTTGTTTTTTACATCAGAGTACCTGAAGGCCAAAGGTTTTCAAATATGGTAATCTAATGATGTAACACCACAGGTAACAAACAATAAAGCAAACTAATGCTCCTGAATGCAGCACCAGGTCTTCCTCAAGTCAACAGTCCAGAGGTACTGCTGTGGCATCTCAATGGAAGGATAGGGAGGCTGCTCCACAGGCCTCTTCCAGCCGGACTTGCTCTCCAGGAGCTTGTTAATATGCTTGGATAGTAGTGAAGCATCAAACAATATTTAATAACTTTCTATATATGAACTATGTTATCAAAAAATATACCATTGCTCAACTCTATAAAAGTAGAAACCCAATGAAATTGTTTAAAACTGCTTTAGCAAGAATAGGGTAAGTTTATATTATATTAATACTGTGGCAGAGATGCAGATACCCTTCCACCATAAGCATTCTCATGCCTTTATTTTAATAACAGAATCTTTCATGTTACCTGGGCACATGGCCACCCTGCTCTAAAGCTAGATGTGGCCACATGACTGCATCTGTCCAATGAACTATAAATGGAACTGGTGTGTTCTGTGATCTCCAGGTATTTTAAAAAGGAAGTTGCCTGCCTTCTGCTTCCTCTCTCTCTCTTTCCCCTTCATGGTGAACTAGACCTTACAAAATAGTTGACATATACACCCTCACCATACAGTCCACTTCTGAATCTTTAAAAAAACAGTGAGGAAAAGTATTGTTAATGTGCAACTAAATGTAGTAATTATGCCTAGCCAATTTTTTCTTCAATAGTAAAAATAGGGCTGGGATCAGAGACATTGACTAGTTCTTTTTATTTTAAATTAAATTTCATTTTAAATTGTTTTAAATGATTTAAACGTTATCATCCATCTTTATTTCACTTATGGAGAAATAGCAATTCAAAATTAATCAGCCCCATTTGAGCTTACACCAGTCTGTAATTTAAAATAATTTCATTTTTTGCCAGATACATGTTAAGATAAATTCTAAGTGAGAATAAATGTCTTCTAAAAACCTCAAACTGATTTTCCCATTTTTTTTAATCCTCACCTGAGGGCATGCTTCTATTGATTTGAGAGACAGGAAGGGTTGGGGGAGAGAGAGAAAGAGAAATATCAATGTGAGAGAGAAATACCTATCAGCTGCCTCCTGCCTGAGCCCCAGTTGGGGACTGCAACCTGCAACCTAAATGTATACCCTGACCAGGAATTGAGCTACAACGTTTTGCTGAACAGGACAATGTTCCAACCAACTGAACCATCCAACCAGGGCTTCCCTGAGTGTTTATACAAAAATGGAATTAATCTGACTTCAAAACATAACATTTATATAAATATATCAAGTTTCTGTTTTTCTTATAAGTACAACTGATTTCCTCAGTATGACCACTTCCAAAGTCTGCCTAAGATAATCTTATCTTCTCTCTTCTACTAACTTGAGTAGTAGTTCCTCAAGACTACTAGTTGTTGACATAATATTTAATATTGAAGATTAGAAAATAAGACCAGTGTTATAAGTCTTAATTGAGCCGGGAGAGGCAAGGCAAATAAACCAAACCATCTGAGGCTGAGACTGCCAGACAAGATGCAGAGGAACACCAACGCATTTTCTAGAGATGGAAAAAAAGCTGGTTATGTCAGAGAATCATAAGATTGGAGATTTGGGCCAAACTGATTTAAAAATATTGCAGTTAGCATCACAATCCAAGTTATAAATGCACATTTGGAAAATGAACATTTTCTGTCTTTGTAACCCTAGTGAAGGGCACAATAGCTACAGCCAGTATACTGCGAACTATTAACAGAAGTCAATGGCTTAAAAAAGAGAAGTTGTAGCAACTTTTACTTTTATAATTTAGTATTTTATAAGAATGCATTACCTGGATAACAAAAAAATGATTTTTTTTAAAACAAACTGTGAAGGCAAAAATTTTCTTCACATAATGCAAATGAGAACTTGAATTTTTTTAAATTGAACGTTGCTAAAATGTTTCCATTTTACTATAGTGCTGTTGTTATTTCTGTGTTTAATTACTTTACAAAATTTATTTTCATCAATTAAAACTTTTTAAAGTATTCCTACTTAAAATTACTGTGATAACAAAAACTCAAATCATCAGGTTTTTTAAATGGACAAAGGTCATAAAAATAATTCTCATAGGAATTTAGTCCATCTAGATATGAAGAACAAAATAAAACTTTCCACAGTTAACTGTGGTAAATATTCTGGGCCCTGCAAAGCCCCTGAGGCTCTACCTTATGTGGCATATTGAGCCTTCCCCCAGATTAGTCAATGTTCTGTCTCGAACAGGTCCTTGAAACTTTTACAATCATTTGTCCTTCTCTCTTCCCTGTTTCCATGGCACCAATAACCACACAGTCACCCAAACTGAAAATTTTTGATGCCACCTTGATCATCCATTTCCATGGCCTCCTCTCATCAAATCTTTTGCCAAATTTTATTGATTCCATACATTTAACCTCGTCAAATCCTCTCCACTCCCGCCAGAACATCCTGGATCAGATTAATTAGAAAAACCCACAAACTTCCACATTACCATCCCTTCAATAGTAAGAACTGAGACCATTCCTGAAAACCATTCTGTGCCAGTCCCCAGACTAAATCATTGGTTCTCAGTGGACCATGTGGTCTCTGTTGCAATGACTCAACTTTGTTGTTGTGATACAAAAACAGGAAACACATAAGGAAGTAGGCATAGTTGTGTTCCAATAAAACTATTTACAAAAACAGGCATGGGGTGGACCAGCGTTTACCCACCCTGGCCTGTAGAATAGTCCGAATGAATCAGACTCATGTTAATAACTTTCCATTAAATGACCTGTTTTGAAGCCAAACTAAATTGTTTGATCTGTCACCATGTCTTTCCTCATGTCGTTTCGTTTGCTTATTAGCATGTTTTTTCCCAGTCAGGTCCAAACCGTTCAACTGCAAGTCGATTCCAAACGTCAACTCCTCTTCAAACCCATACTTCATCAGCATAAATGAAAAAGATCGCTTCCCTCCTCTTAACTCCCATAGTTCTTTTCCCCTCCCCTTTCATGACACACTTTATTTTCTGCTTCTTGTGCTCAGACCAGACTGTATGTTCTTCTTCTGTATGCCAGATCCACATCTTTATTCTCATGTGTGTTCCTCTAGCCTTGTCTTTTGAGGACAGCCAATAAATATTTGTTGAACAAGTGAATGAATGAAGAAACCCCAAGTTTCAACACTTTCTTCATCATCACTGATCAAACTTAAGCTCATGCAAACCATTAAGCAACTAGAGTTTAAAAGTTTAAAGTCTGATGAAACTGAAGCACACAAGTAGCAACCTACCTTATAATTCTGTCTTTAATCATGTTCTGACCTTAAATACATATCTATTGGGTTGAACTAAAAAGTTCATTTAGTTTTTTTCCATAAGATACAATAAAAGACACATTTTTCATTTTCACCAATAACTTTATTGATTTGGATATTTTGAGAATGTTGGCTATCTCCATGTGGCATGTTTATTGTTCTCAATTAATATCTCGACTCGATCACTAGCAACTTCAACTGGTCTACCTAACCATGGAGCATTGTCCAGTGAGAAATCTCCAGCACAAAACTTCGCAAACAACTTTTAACATGTTTGGATCAGTCATAGCACATTCTTCATACACTGCATGAATCTCTTTTTGTGTTTCAGTTGCATTTTTACCTTTCTTGAAATAGTAAGGCATAATATGCCAAAAGTGTCATTTATTTTCTTCCATCTTCAATATTGAAATGGCTACACAAAAATTCACCAATTTTGATTTTTTTTTATTTTTAATGCATGTTAATATGACGGCTGCCACAGTACATTCTAACAAAATTGTTTTCAATGAAGTTAAAGTCAACGAAGCACTATTAGGGCCATCTTATCGAAAAAAAAACAAAACAAAACTTTTTGGCCAACCCAATATTTCCAGAGATAATACCACAAATCAATATTATGGAACCACCTCCATCCCAAACCACTCCCCCCAAAATAGCTGAAAACATCCTCCCAGTTGACACTAGAAAATAAATTACAATAAAATCACAGTGGAAATGATTAAATTTCTGCAGGGGATATGATTAGGTTATTGTAGGGGTTTTGGAAGAAGCAGAAGGAATTGGCTTGTATAAAATAGGTACTATTTTTAAAGAAAAGTATTACTGGGAGGATGTTCCTCCAAATGGAATATAATTTTGTTTCCT